GATCTAATGGTTGTTAAACCAATGTCCTATGTCATAGTAGAAATTAGCCTGGAAATCTGTTGTATGGTTTCTATAAAATTTAACAATTTGCATTTTGTGTACAGAGTTTTAATATCTTTTCATCTTTGCATAGGTATGCATTTGACAGTGATGCATTTGGAGTAGACATTGGCGATTGTGGTGACTCCTGAAATGGGTAACCCTTTGGGTACCTTCAGTTTGTGAGGTTAATCTTTTTTTTTTGCACTGATATGTCATTATTGATGCTCATTAAGGTTTTGGCAGTCTTAAATATCATTGTAACAAAAAGGCACAATGTCCAATGCAAGGTTATATTCTTTTCTCCCCACACCCTGTGTTTTGACCTCTATCGCAATGCTGTTTGCAAATGCTGTTTTAAACCTCTTGCAAAAATCCAAAGCTTTGGGTTCTGGAATGTTTTGCTTTGTGTTGGTATACCTCATCATCTATACAAAAATACAAAAAAAACTAAATCTTTTGTGTACCTGGCTTTCCACTCCTCCACTTGAGTATTTTGGCCTAAGCTTGGTCAGTATAATAAAAAGAGAGAAACAAAATCTGAGACTGATCCCTAAAGTTCGTACAGCAACTCTTAAAACTATTAACCCCTTGTATTGTAACTTGCCAGAACTGTGTCCTTTCCTATAGGTAAAGTGCTTTGGGATCATTGTGATAAGTAGCACAATCTAAAAGCAAGTTATCGTGCCTTTAGAGTCTTAGTTGATACCAGGCTGGTTTTATTTCTGGTCAAGTTCTGATACTTCAGGCTGATGTGTGAGATCACAGTTCAAAGGGAAATTTTTCTTTCAAACTTGAGGTCATCCACCCGAGTATCAAAATACTCCCTTTCTGACCTGGTTGTTGAAGAAGGAGTCAGTATTAATGGTGGTCTTCAGTTCTGTGTGTACTTTAGACTGCTTTTCTGTTAGGTTCCTGGGAATGACATGAAGTAGAAACTCTAAAGGTCTACTTTGACCTGCGTGTGACAGGTGAGATTCATAGCACTTGAAGAGTAAACATGTGAAGTTAAACTTCTATTTTATGGAAAAGAACCGACCAATAATGCAAACTATTGAAGTTTTGGAACCACATGAATTCATAGCTGTCATATTTAACCCATTTATAATGACTGAACAGATTTTCCGTTTAATTTGTAGTATTGTGAGCTGCTGTTAATACCCATGAAAGCATAGGTGTATTTTGCTGCTTTAGTTCTTACAGTCAGTATTTTACTTGTGCTTGATTAGCTGTGGGAATAGAAGCCTCAGTGCAGTCTGGCAGCCCAGCTGAGCCTGTGGAAAGGAGATTGTACAGGGACTGTGAAGTGAGTTGGATCATTCAACCGAATGTGTGGTGACAACTGTACGCTGTGAGGCAGTGAAGTTTGGAACACATTGAAATGGGACCGTAGGGAAGTCCAGAGGGCCCTCTTGTTACTGGCATTCACCAGATAGTCGACTACAGCAGAATGCTCCATGCCTTCTGGTCAGTAATGGAGATGGTGCCCTCTGGTGTGATCTGGTCCTTGTCCTTGGGGTACATGTTTTCATAGTTGTACGCTTTAGTGACGGGAATGGTAAAGTCAGTTGGTTTACTATGACCATTACACAAACAAAGGTGTGTGTTTAGCAGCCCAGTTCTGTCGGAGACTGAAATCCACTGGTACTGACCAGGAGGCACTGGACACGGACTGGCAGTACTGAGGCCACGGGGTGGCGAATCCGTGCGTTCCAGGCCCCTGAGGACTGGGTAAGACCAGAGAGCAGAGTGAGCAGGGGTCATCCAGACAAAACCTGATTGGAGCTAAGCATCTGAACCTTGCTAGAGAGAGCCTTGTGTGTGCATTTTTAGAATAGGGAGATATGCTCCCATTTATATTGTGGCATCTGGGTTTGCAGAAAGCGAGACTTAACTGAAGGTTGTTTTCATTTATTTTAGAAGACAGCACATCTCTTATTTAGACCTCTGTAGATAGGAGTTAGGAGTTGAATACTTGGTAGCAGTCTGGGGTGTTCTAGGTGATTAGAATGTTAGGCCTCTGAAATGCCTTGTCTGTATGGACTGTAAATACAGTTACTTAAGTGTTGTATGTTTTTGTTGTGTGTAGTGTTTAACCAAATGTTTGTTTAACCGAGTGTGTCTGGATTATTACCCTTTTCACCAAAGTTATGCCAGAGAACAAAGAATTCACGTGCTGCTAATTGTACCAACTGCTTGGGTATATTCTGCAGAAATCGCATACAAGTTGGGGGTTATGAAAAATGATTTACTTATTGACTAAACCACTAATATTTACCATTTTAATTTGTAACAATACAATGGAGTAAATGAGTTTGTCCGTGTCCTGTAGGTAGAGTTTTAGTGGCAGCAGCTCTGCATGTGGGAACTGAATTGTGATCCATTTACTTTTCTGAAATATTTAATAGCTTGGCTCTGCCAAGAGTGCAGCACTGTGATTAGCATAACTGCCTTACAGCACTGGAGCCCTGGGTTCAATTTCCGGGATACTACCTGAGTCTAGTTTGTGTGTTCTCCCCGTGTCTCCCACAGTCCCAAGACATACTATTATTCATAATATTGGCTTCTTGGAAGATTGGCCCTGGTGTGAGTGTTTGTGTCTGTATGTGTCCTTTTAACGGATTGGTATCCTGTCTAGGGTATATCTTGCCTTGTGCCCATTGCTTTCCTGGGAAGGCTCTGGCTCCGCCGTGACCCTGTATCAGATGAAGAGGTTTAGAAGCGAGATGGATGGTTCTGCAAGAAAGTGGATGTTTTAATCTTTTCCATCTTGCTTACCTACTATACCACTACTTTGCCGCAAACTGGCAGGGACAAAGATTACAAACATTTTTACAAGAAATTTATTTCAGTGACCTGTGCAAAACTATTAAATTAAGTGCAGCTTAAATATGACTGATCTGTTCCCTGTGGACACCCTACTGTCACAGCAAACAGAGCCTGATCTTTCATCTATGTGCTTAAAGTGAGTAATATGACATGCAAATTAAGTTTTGGCCAAATATAGAAGGTGAAGGGAAAATATTTGGTCGCATCAATATTTCAGTGAATCTTGTGAATTCCAAATTAGTTTTAATCGGCTTGTTTACATAACATTTAGTAGCCTCTCACTGTCAACACGCAGGTATAGGAGAAAACGTGTTGAATCAGGATGTGTGCGAGCTTATTTGTAACGTACTAAAAGGGTCACTAGTGATTGCAAGGCTAGAAGTGTCAGTTCTGGAAAATATTCATTCTTGAATCTGGGGAAAGGAAGTTCTGAAAACAGAATTGTGGAAATTCAAATTAAAAATATTACTGGACTGTCAAAAGGATAATTCTGAGGATTCTGGACTAGTTCATTACTTTGGAGGGTTTTTTTTTTAGATAAAATTGAGGCCGGTGTGTTGCATACGTACCTGTTCTGTCTTCATTACTAATGACAGAGCTCTTTAGCCAAGCACAGTGCACACAGATGGGGGGGAGTAGGAATACATCCTACTGAGAATTGTTTGACATCACAGTAGTTGGCAGGGAAAATATGGTACAATAAATAACTGCATAGTGATCATTCTTTCCTAGAAAGTCAGTGCTGTACATATTGAGGTGCACAGAACTGAGTCATAACTGAAGGAAGGGTAGTCTCTTGAACTACTTTTCCTCTCATTGGCCTAAATATTAGCACTTACTGCCAAATAGCTCACGAGACAAACAGCTTGAACATGACTTGGGAAGCATTTCATGAACATGTGGAATATTTGCAGTCCCATACCAATTGCAGTCCCATACCATTCAATTCTTCTAGCCAGATCATCATCTGAGGTCTCGGGTAGGGGTGTCTGTAACTGCAATTTGTTCCACAGGTTTTCACTAGGAATGAAACCTGGCCTTTGTTCTGATTTTGAAAGTCTCTCTGAAGCTCCTCAAGACAAGTTCATATCCGTTCAATAGTCCCCATTATTTGTGCTTTATGTTTCATATTGTTAATTTTTTTTTTTATTCAGCCTAGGATAAATGGATATTTGTGGTTTCTTAAAACATCACCACAGTACAGAGTGCAGATTATTACTGTTATGCATCCGGGTAGTGTGTGTGTACTTCTGAAAACAGCTGCCCATCTTTCAGTTCCTTTCTGTCACAAGGTTTTGGACAAGCCTCTGGATTATTAACCTCCCCGCAAGTCAATATACCACAGGATAGATTCCGATATCCTTTAATGAAATGGATTGGATGACTGGAGCAATTGAATTGATTATTGAATGTGCTTCCATCAAAGGGTTTTGGCCTAACAGTTGAGCACAGTGCAAATTCCTGTGATCTATTTCAAAGGGAAACACAGCAGATGAGGTGCTAATTAAGTCATTTTATTTCTGTAAAGTGCGAATCTCAAACCATCTAAACATCTAAAGCTGATGGGTCTATTTGATTAGGTCATTTGAACGAGGAATTGTTACTGTCAACTGCAGTTCTCGGATAAAATTATAATACTGTTTGCAGAGTTTAGCCTTTTCAACCTTAGCGCTCCTGCGATGAAACAGAATAGCAGTTTTAGCGTTTCAGCTTTGCATCTTTTCTCACTAACATAAATTTAAGGAGGCATGCCTGCCATCTAACACCTGGTGTTGACATGTAAATAGAAGTCCGTGCAGCTGATGAAGATGAAATAGCTCAGACTGCTTGCAATTGGGAATCCTGTTTCTGTCTTCGGACACAGTAATGGTGACATCGGAGTACTGAAGAGTCCTCAGACTGCCCATCCTGGTGCAGAGCTTTGCTGTGAGCAATTGCAAATGACCGTCTGCTGTTTATTTTAACTGTTCTCTGGGGAAACTGACCACTTCCTAGACCCTTCTTTGTGCTTGGAATCCTTTAGAGGTCTTGGCAACTTTATGTGGATGTCCTAAATAAAACTTTTAAATACATTTAAAAGACAGATTTCCTCCCTCCCTCTTGTCTGATGTAGTTTTTTATATTTTTTTTAGATTACGTCTACTTTGAAAATTCATCGAGTAACCCCCTTTTGATAAGAAGGATAGAGGAACTTAACAAGGTAGGTGACTTATACCAGATTTCCTTCCTTCACAGACTCCTACAGTGTGTATATCCTGTCCAGAGCCTGGTGTTCTACATTGGAAAGGATAAAGGATTAATTGAAATTGAGAGTTATTACGTGATGAAAATACAGAATGCCATCCACTCTACTTGGACAGAAACCCAAGCCACACCAGTGTCCTGGATCCTACCTCCCTGGGCAGATAAATAATTCAGGTTTACAGTAGGACACACCCTCTGCCTCCTGAAAAGGAGCATCTGCTCAGACTCACCATTTTCCTTTCTGCACATTTTGACCTAGTTTGTATTTTTCTGGGCCTTGCTTAACACGTGCAGTACTTCTGTGCATCCTGAAGCCACTGTGCAAGCCACGCAGCCATGTAACTCTAGCTGTTTAACTTGCTTCAGGATCTAAAGACGACGGCTGTGCCAATACAGGTGAGGCAAGAAGGCACAGTCTCAATGATCATTCTTGATCACTGGTGGCACGTTTGCCGAGACATGAAACGGTGTCAAAACATAACTCACTGCATTGGCTTTTTAGATTTGGACGTCTCTTTTCCAATGCGCTGTAACTACCACCCGGTATTTGGACTAAAACTTCAACCTGTTCTCTAGGGTAGTGGCTCTCAACCCTCTGCACCTCATGGGCCACTTAGTGTCAAATAGCAGTAGTCAAAACCCACACATGTGATTGATGACTTTCAATAATATGCACATTTCTATCTATGTATCATATACAGTATATATACTATGTATAATATATACTGTATTAGAATTAATTATGGAAAATAAGCATAATGGATGGATGGTACAAATTTTAATTCTGAAATATGCACAATTTATGAATACAAAAATATGCAGAGACAAATGAGCCTTAATATCTTAATATGTTCTCATACAATTTATGGACTGTGGAATATTGTTCTTAATATCCTGTGATACTTTCTTCAGTTCCTCCACATTGTTTGGTTGCCTTTTGGCTTCCTCAGCATCTGTGTAAACCAGTATGGCTTTCATACTTGTATCAGGACTTGCTGCAGACCTCAACATCCGTAAATAGTGTATAGCTCAGACTAGGTTTGTCACCACAGTGTCTGTATGGGGTCATGGTCAAGTTGAAAGCCCAACGAGACACGTTCACGTGGGATCAGATTCTGCGTCTACCTTTTGGCAGTCAGGGTGGCTCCAGTTTCATGCTCCTGGCTGTCATTAAACCCTGCACTTGTAATAATCTTCTTCCGTGCTATACTGTAGCTGGTTTGCAGACTATAAGTCTGCTCTCCAGTCTGCCTATGAAGGATCTGTTGTTGATTATTGCCAGTTCAGTCTTGGACCTGGCAGTTAAAAGTGTTTTTTTTTCTAGATTTCTTCATTTCACTGTCTCATTTCTGTTGCCCATTTTATTTGGAATAGGTTTCTAAGCTGCTTCATGCCCATTGAGCTTATTCTGCATTAATGTGCATTTTACTGTTCCTCAGTAGCAAGCAAGATCATGGTAATGTTAGAGCCCTTTCATTGCCTGTAACAACCGGGAGTTTCAGCGTAAATCCCATGTTTTGTGGTGAAACACAAAGTCAGGCACTGCTCTGTTGATAGGAGACACTGTGAATTCCTCTGTTGTTTGAATAGTTCTTCCCAAGAACCATCACGTTTTCCCACAATCGTTCCTTCTATCCATTATTGGAAAGCTGTTTCATCCTGGTAAAAATCAGATCATCCCACTAATGTAAGGCCGAGCACGCCATTTCACCACAGGGCACATACATAGACAGGGACACCAGTTTGCCTTTGGAAGTCCAGATCCGGGAAGAACATGTATGCCCCGAATAGAACATCAGGAATTGAATTCCGGAACCAGGAACTTTGAGGCAACAGTGTTGATACCCACCCACGGAAAAAGTAAAAATGTGATTAATTCTTCAAAGATCCCAAATGCGATTTGGTACAGGTAGAGAAGATGTCCAAGAACTGAAATGGAGTTCTAAAAACAGATCAGCAAGACTTGTATATGTGTGAGTTGAGATATTTTCTATTAAAACTTTTAAAAACATCTTTAGTAGGAGTAATACTATGGTGGGCTAAAGTAGGTGAGCAGGGTTCTAAGTAAAATGGTTGTTTACGTTTTGTTTTGGCTGGAGGCATACCTAACAAAAGCTTTAGGCAAACTAGCTGTCGCATCTTTCCTTTCCTCTATCTGTCTGTGGGTTTCACTGTTGTCCAAGCCTGTGGCCCTTTGCCTCATGTCCTGTGACTGGTTGAGAAGCTGTGGTCTAGAGTGCTGGTGAAACAAACCGAGAAAAGTATTTTTCAGCGGTAGAGAGAATATCGGGTACGCATCACTGGAAGCAGCATCCACTGGAAAAAGGAATCAAGGGGATCGCTTCTAGACTGTAAATGCGTGTGTTTTTTTTGTCCATCTTAAACACCGTAATCCTTACGATTTTGAGTCCTTCTTTCAGACCGCAAACGGCAATGTCGAAGCCAAGGTGGTGTGCTTCTACAGAAGGCGGGACATCTCCAGCACCCTCATCGCACTGGCCGACAAACATGCAAGTAAGTGACGATTCCGCAAGGGGCTGGGATTCCCCTCCATGTGCTCTTCCTTATTTCTGAACGAGCTGGGTTTAAGCCTGTGTACGTGGATGAAGGGACCCAGCCTCATAAAATCTTAGTGATTTGAAGTCCCTGTCAAGGCTAATTAGGCCGATGCTGGGTCATTGTGTTTGACAGTGCTCCTCTTGTCTTCTTGCATTAAACGTTACCCTGAGGTCAAGTGTCAACTTTCTTTCAGTCTCGTAAAAGTGCACAAAGGTTTAAATGTTGACAAAGGACAGAAAGAGGTATTTGGATCATCTCCCCCAGTCATGTCCTAGTGATCTGGGGTACCTCATTCGTCGAGCCAGTGCAGCCAGAGTGCCCTATCTCAAAAGGCCTCTGCAGCTTTCTCAAGCAATCTCAAGTGTGCTTCTCCTCTGTACTGAGAGCATTGGGTTTAGCTCCTTTTTGTAAGTGTGGCTGTTGTGGATCATTGCAAAATTTAGACACTTGGATCTGAGAAGAATTTTCTAGTCAGGTCTGAAGGGCTTTCATATAACCAAGGTGTAAACACCTGTACATTGTAAAACATTGTGCCGCTTTATGTAAAGATGAACAAATGCTCATATGTTCTCAGATATTTGAAAGTTAAGGACTTGTTTTAGGCAGACTACTCTAATAATTTAGAACAGATTTTAAGAGACCTGATCACGTGATGTTTGGATCTAAAATCTGATATCGTAAAGCAGCTTGTGAACACATTTAGAAAACTGATCTGTGAGACTTCAGTTTTTTTTTTTACAATCTGTAGCAGTCTTTCCTTTCATCCTTCTGTTAGTGTGTTTCACAGTTGTCCCAGCCTGTGGACCTTTGCTTCATGTCCTGTAAGGTGGAATGTAAAAATTGCCTCTGGGATCTTCAGTGCAGCAGGTGAAAAGCCTTGTTTAGACCATTCAGATCGTCATTGCCCATCTGCAGTGTTTGCCAGCAGGGGTGGTCCTAGGTCAGCGGAATTTGCCCTCCGGTCCAGTGGTAAGACTTGGGCCGTACTCTCAGCTACCACTTCCTGTTCCTGTGAGGTGACGGTGACGTGGAGCGTTCCACTCTGAGCTGGAGCACTCTCCCCTGGACAGGAAGGAAATATAGGCTGTGTGAGGCGCAAAGCGGATACCTTAAACAAGGCCTGCTGTCCTGTCCCCTAGGTGAAGCGTCATTTTAGAGATAAAACCCCGTGACATTCGTGAATTGACAGAATATTCTAGTTAAAATAAACGCAGGTTGGGCCATAAAGAGTTAAATTTGGGATTCAAAGCCACTGCCTGCCAACTTAAACTGAGCTGCTTCTGTGTTTTTGTTTCTTTTTTCAAAATGTTACAAAGAACACATTGCACAAACAATGACACACCACAAGAGTATCGACCGTCTCCTGTTTCTGTTGGATAAAGTCTGCCAAGGTTAATATATGGGGAACTGGCATTATTACAAGCCTTGACTGTTTGGTGGCCTGGAGAGAAGGCTTATAATTCGATGATGAAGTGTTTGGGTGCACTTGAAAAGAGTAGTAAAGGCTCCAAAGACGCCTACATAACATTTGAAATGACCGTTCTCCAAGTGAGAGCATCGGGAATTAGAAAAATGGTGGCTGGTGAAGCCCGGTAGAGGGGAATTTTAATTTTGATGAGGCTCCCTCCCCCCCTCCTCCCTGCGCTGGCTCGGGAAGAGGGAAGGGAGAGACAGACGCCGCTCCCTGCAGCAGCTGGCTGTGCCTGGGGTTCCCCACCCGCACCCAGGCCCAGCCAGGCTGCATGGTGGTGACAGGAGTCTAGTGCAATGCGCTGTGGTTGCTGGCTTAGCATCCCGAGGGGCACTGAAGCAACCACTCCTTCTTAAATGCATTTTTTTATAGGCTGCTGTAAAAGTTTTAAATCCTACGTTTAGAGATTGGGAGTGGCTCTTGTTTTTGTAGCTAAATGTACAACAGCATAGAACAAGAATTCTATGCAAATATTAGAAAGGTGTGATGGGCGTTTTGTAACTAAGTGTCGGCCCCTCATGGCACCAGCCATGCATCTCTCCCGCCTGCTGCAGACGGCTTGGAAACAGGTCTTTGTGATTTAACACTTTGCAGTGTTAAGATATTAGTTTTAGTTCACAGGGCAGGCCATGTCTAAACCAGGTCTTTGAGGCAGTGTTAGCTGGCATGGTTTTGCCTGCTGGGAGTGTTTTCCTTCTGTCAAATGGCTTGTCATTGGAGATATGACATTTACATTTTTTAAAGAGTTAGATCCCATTCCCATTCATTCAGCTGTTACCAAGATGTCGCAGCTAAAATCCTGAAAAATCTACATTTTCACATTTTAACAAATAGTACTACTGCATGCTTATTGTTAATAAAAGTATTATTATTACGTCTACCCGATTCTTAATTTCCAGTTGTTTTAAAACAAGACAAAACGACCATACCACTGAGACACATGGGCCTGCTCCCAAATTAAGGATCAGTAGACTATTGTAACCAGAGATCAATGCAATTGATTTAAATTGTGTATTGATCTTAGTGGGCTTCTTTTTCAGTATGTTTTACAATTGCTCTGTAGGCCTAATACTTGTAAAGCAGTGTGGAGCAGCATGTAAGATTCTGGCATTATAGCTTGAAGATTGTGGGCTCAAATCCCATGCGACACAATGGGATTCACCCAGAATTGTTCCAGTAAAAACTACCCAGGTATGGACATGGGTGTAAATAAAAATAACTTTGGATAATGGCATCAGAAATGATTAGAAGTTATTAGTCAGGGTAACTAATGTTAATTTTTATATAAGTTGCCCTGATAAGGGTGTCTGCTAAGCAAATAAACATAATCCAGTCAGAGTCTAGAATCTGATGTAGGAGGAATGTCTGCAGCAGTGTGGTTTCGCAAAGAGAAACTCTCTGTACTTCTCTTTCATTTTACTTGTTTGATATTTACATCCAGACTGCAATCTTCAGCCTGGTGGTGCTAACTTACAGTTAGGACAGCGATGGCTTTATTAAATAAAACTAAAAGTGTTCGTTGTTAGAGCATAGTTGTAGTTTCTAAGAACAAGGCATTCTGTTCTGTGTGTGTTTGCAAGGCCTGATAGCTCATTGACTATATTTGGCAGACAGTGAGAGTACAATTAAAGTGAAAGAAACATCCCGTCTAAGAAGCAGTTCCAAGCAAAGGAGTTAAGGGCTAATCATGCTACTGTATATACGCCGCAGGCTTGCATTAATGTTAGTGAGAGATGTCCTCCAATCACGTGTAAGTACAGTGGAGCTTTCAGTGATTCGGAAGATGAATGCTCCTGGTCAAGTGGGCGTCTGAGGAGCATGTGTGCAGGTTATTTATATTCCAGTGCTGTCCTGGACTCTTTCTTGGAAATTTGAGACTTAAGAAGAATTTACATACAATAATTTAAATTTGCATGAATTTTATAAAATCTACACATAACCAGAATGGCTTACCTAATAAGGTACCTTAAGTTTTGTACAGTAGATTACTAGTTTGATTTTAATAAGACAGCAATCAGATGCATTGCCTTATAGCAAATAGTATAAACTGTTGTGAACAGATTAAATTGTTTATACCTTCCAAAACATGCATGACACCATAAGACTTGCGTGGCCTGTAGCTATAGTTTTAGTACATTCAAGATTATTTCTGAATAAAAGCTTGTGTTCTTGAAACATAACATTTCAATATTAAGAAGAAACATTTTCATGAACTCGTTCATGGTTACTGCCGTAAACGTATGAACAGTACATAAATTAATTTGTACTCCAGAGTCTTGGCTCCTTGCTTGCTCTAAGCGCTGTGCCTGTTTGCCAAACTGGGAGTAGTTGGACGCCACAATCCTTCATTGATGGCAAGCATGTACTGTGTGCAGAGCTACATTTAACTGAGCTGAAGATTGTTGACCACAACTTTCAATTCAGCTGTGCGAAAAACTGGGATCATGAGACGAATCTAGCCCGTGAGTGAGCCTCTCCGTGCTGCCTGCCCTGGAACCTACAGTACCACCCAGCATCTGCATCGCGCCACGCTCATTCTTTTTTCTGTTATGTATGAACACTCCCTGTTCCGTGTCAGCTGTGTGGGGAATGACTGGCTGGAGACGACTCTACAGACTCCCTGGTGGTTTTGTTGCCAGTTTCATTAAGGTGCGGCAGGATAAGCACGGAGGCAGGGATGGAAAGTGCATGCTGGACCAGAGGAGAGATTCATGTTTGTTCTGGATGATTCTGGTGTTTATTGTTGTTTCTTTCACTTCACCAATGTTATTTACATTTATTTAAAAGCCAATGCATTAGTACTTAAATTATCATATAAGGGAGCATTACTTGTATCTTTTAACTATACATACAGTTCTACATACTAATGCACTGCTATAGGGGTGGATTTGGTTATATGAGAATTTGGCTATTCATAGTGGTTCTCTGCACCAAACCCACACAGGTCGAGACCCTACTGTACTCATTTCACTACTACTGTCATCCCTTTGTTCAGCTGTATGAAGCACACTTTATTTTTACCCTTTTTAGTTTTAAACCCTCCAAAATATGTCTACTAGATTATAAACCCGAAAACAAATAGAAACGTTTGCTGCAGAAATTCTGAAAGGTCCAGGCTCAATACAAAGTAGAGAGTATTTGTCTCTAGTACTAACATGGTTGTTGCAACAAGGATTCTTCTACTAGGAGTCTTGTCTTGTCTTTACAAAGCATTACCTATATTCCCTAAACTGTAAAAAAGCGTCGTCAGGTGAAAGCAATAGTGGTTTTACAGAAGAGTCTGCACTCAGCATATGAGGTTTATAAAACTCTTCATTAGCCTTCATTTTAGTTTTAAATATTTTTATTATATGGCTGTTATTGATGTTTCTTGTGCCCCGGTTGCATTAAAAGCACACATTTGTTCATTACAAACTAATTTATAATCCATTAATGCAATTTTAATAGAATTAATTTACATTTGATTTATAGATTCACTGGATTAGCACAAAAGACCAACTTGGATCCACAGAAAATTACTCTACAAATATGCAGTTGATTTCCTGTTCTTTAGTCCATGGTTTTCTTTCTGCAGATTTATGCTCTTGTGTTAATCCTAAAAATGAAGTCAAGCATCACATTTCATGGATCGTGCTTTTAGTGTCTGAAACTTTAAATGGACCAGCTGTAGTCTTTGGCCCTCAAGCATAATGTTGGTTCTCCCTGGTAGAAATGAGGCTCTTCCCTGAAGCAGGAGCATCTGATTTCTGGTTCATGTATTAATGGGCAATGTTTGCCTCAGCCCAGGAGAGGGGAGGGAACCTGGCTGCTTCTTCAAGAAACCTCTCGGTATGGAGCACTTTCTTCTAGCCTGACAACGCCAAGGAAAAGGGGAGATGCTGGGCTTCCGGTGAAGGATTCTAACCGATAAGGCACTGGCCTCTGCCAAGCGTTTTCATCAATAATTAATAATTAGTTCAGACAGGTGAGATGGAAAGGCAATTTGTTAAGTGTATGGGCTGTATCTGATGCCAGGCAGCCCTGTCAGGTAATGAGAAATGAGGCCGGGTTGAGGGTGATGGGCCTGCCCCTCTGTCTGGCTCCTAGTGCCTGATATTCAAGGGCATGTTTATTATTAAAGTGAGGCCAGCAGCACAGCATGGCCCAGCTCGGCTACTCGTCTCGGCTGAGCAACTTCCTGAAATCCTCATTTTGCAGCAGTGCTGTTCTTGGTTAGCAGATAACTAAAAGGCCTTCTAGAAGCTGAGGTTGCTTTTCATTTTTTTAAATTAGCTACCTTAAGATAAATACCCTTCTTAGATGTGTTTTTCGGGTGATTGTATTATTTCTCTCTATTTGACTTGAATGAGCATCTATGTCCTTATAACTGGAAAGTAATTGTTTATTTGAAGCCCAGGCTAGAGAATAAAATGGTCAAATGCAAACCTGTTACTGTCCTTGCACAATCTGTGATGTCTAAAACCATAAGAAACTCAGGATTGAGTTTGTACAAATGAAGACTTGAATTGCTCCCTACAACTAGTAGAACTTAAATTGTTCTGGCTAAGGTTATATTGACGTGCCTTGTCTGACAGTACACTGAACACACCAGTGTGTTTTTTTCTGCCAGTGTGTTTGTAGGTGTTCTGTGCCTCTTGAAAGCAATAGCTGGAGAGCTGGAAGAAGAATTTGTTAAATTGGTCCAGTCAAGCCATAAAGCTGAAAGTTGCAGATTGCAGCCTTTTAGGACCAGGATTTGGTCACCCTTGGTTGAGCTTCTTTATGGTCAAGTCCTGTCACTTCTAGTATATGGACTTGTGTAGAGTTATAAAAAAGACATTCTTGAGACTTGTCTGAACACTGAATATTTTAGTTGACTTAAGATTTATGATAGTTGCAGCAAGAGTCTCAATTTGTGTTCAGTAAGAGGCTCAACACTGTATTCCCTGATGTGGGACGTTTCCTAACAGGTGTGAGAAACCACAAAGTTTTAGAAAAAAAACACTGTATCTTTTAAAAAAAGAGGTCAACAACATGACTGGACTACCTGTTTTGATACTTTATCAAGCCTTTCACTACACAAATTTATTTTATAAGAACTTTGTATTTGAAATAATATCCAAATCGATATCCTTTTTTGGGCAGGGATAAGATTGGAAGGTTTATGTGCTTATAAAAAGTGAAAGTTATTTTTCCTTCTTGCTTCACAGTTTTGTTGAGTGTCTTAAAACAGTTAAATTTGGTATCTTTGGATACATGTCAGCTTTCAGAATCCACATTACAAGTGCTATTTAAATGCATAACAATTATTTTCTGTCACATTCCAACATCTTTGAGATGCACATTGATTTGTGCAGCTGTTATTTTCACATCAGTGAGGGGAAGGCCTCTCCAAACTGGTAATTTTCACTAAGAAACTCTGCATGTGTCTATAGTGAGCTGTCTAGCTATTTTTTCTCTGAATTTTAGCAACAGATTGCCGATATACAAAGGTGATCAGATATTTCAAGATTCTTTTCTTTTGCACTCGATTCGAGCCTTTTTAAGTCCCTTTCATTCCATTTGAAACGAGGATCTTATCTTAGATTGGTGTTGCAAAGAATACTGCAGCCCTTGCTAGTGGCTGGTGTCCGTGTGTGTAGCAATTTATCAGCGCTGACAGGGCGTTGTGTCTCAGGTCGTGGGCGATGAGAGGCCAGCTAGATTGATCTGCCCGAACCTCAGAGATTTCTTAATTGCCTTTGTTGAGCTTCTTAATGAAGCTGTAAGGCACCTAGAAAGAGGGAATTTTCTCTTCTCTTTTTGCCTGAATCCCCCTCCTCCATCCAGTTTTCTTTAATTCAGTAAGTGATTGTGGAAATTGATTTCCTTTCTTCTCATTCCGGATCAGCCCTGATGGCGAGCGAGGGCTGCCTTGTCTCGGTGATGCGGACAATGCTGCGGAGCTTTTTCACGTCCAGGAAAAGGGGTCTTTCTTTGTATCGCTAGCTAGAAAGGTTTTCACCTTCTCCCGAGTGCATTCCAACCCTTCCGAGCTTTTGCGTTTCTGGGGTGCTTCAGCAGAGCAGCTGCAGCTGTAGCTGTGGCTCTGCCAGGTCGTGGTTCTCCCCCATCCCCCCCTAACCTCCCTTGTGGGTCACGGCGGGCTTGCAGCAGCCCTGCTCAGTGGCGTGAGGGATCTTCCTCTCCCCGAGGATGTCCAGGAGCAGCGAGACACAACGGCGCCTCCTGATTTCATTGGTTCATCTGTGTGGGCCTTTTTTTTTTTAATTTGCTCATAACAGTGTGTGCAAAGCTGGTGACTCATCAGTCTCTCTTAATAAAATAACCAGACGCATGCCCCAGTATATATTTAAAGAAATTGATTTGCAGTAGTCCCTCATTCCCCTCTGACCCAAGAGCTGCATTCTTTTATATTTTGTTGGCAATGACAAAAACCTGATGTCGGCAAACCTTTGTTAATGTCACAATAACAAAATGTTTATTTCTACAATTGTGTTGATGGTTGATACTGTAGATCGCCTCTATAACTTGCTGGCATCAAGTAATGTGAAATCCATATTGTATGGGAACAGCCTGCACAGATATTTGCTTTTAAGAGGGTTGTGTCAGTATACAAGAAAGGACATAAGAATGCTTACAAATGTGATCCACTAATTACTAATTGATCCAAGGATCTCATCCAGCATTTTGTTAAAAGGAGCCAAGTTATCAGTTTCAAGAACAAGGCTAGGTAGCTTGTTCCATACTCCTACAGCTCTTTGGGTAAAGAAGTGCTTCCATTTAGTTTCCACTTGTGTCCATTGATTTACAGTATATTTGGCCTTTCGTTCTGAAAGAGCCCACTGGGATGATTTTATCAATGCGGTTTTGAGGATCTTGAATGCTTATACCGGTTTCCCTTACAGTCTTATCTTCAAGACCAAAAATGTTCAGTTGTATAATTGATTTTTCTCTTGCTTTATAATAAAAGCCTTTTAGCAACTTCTGTGCAGTTATGTATCTAACAGCTAAAATTAGCTTATAGGCTCACAATGTGAACTGTTCTTATTGTGGACTGTACTTTTATCACCATTACACTGAATCCTACTGTGGTATCGTGAAGGCAATGTGTGAAGTTGAAGCTTTAAACTATTTTCACTTTTGGAGATGGTAATTTAAAGCCAATTCAGTTTTTAAAGTCCTGCCAACACATTCACAGCAGCCTCGATTGCTTTAAATAGTGTAGTAATCATTAGTGTTTGCTAGCATCGGTATTTCCTGGCAATTATAAAAGAGTAATTTGAGAGATTCAGGAATTTCATATATACGTTATGTAAGCATGGACAGCAGATAACTTGGAAAGTATGCAGAAGAGAAACGCCCCTAAATAGTGTTATATTTGAGATTATAGAAAAAAACATTTTAAACGGTGACATTTGTCTGTAACAGTGTGTTTTATGAAACAACGTACCAGTGGAGGATTATCTATATTTGGACAAACTACTACAAACTGCTTTCAAGAAATTTGTTTTTGGTAAACCCTAGCCTGCTATTTTAACAAATGTATACTGGACAATAATTCAGATGCATTTGGAAAAATGTCTGTCACTTGTATGTTTTGTTATTGTAAAAGTCACTGTTCTCTCAATACACACGTCCCACATTAGTTTATATGGTACATATCCCAAAACTTCCAACAAAAGATGGATTTGATTTCTATGCCAAACAGTACGAGACTGCCACAACAGAAAGAAAATCTTGGAAAGACGGGAAGTTTGAATTAATCCGCCCTGTTCTATGGGATGAATTACTAGATCACAAGAAGAACAAGATAATGAACACCTAAGGAATGAAGTAATAAATACTAAGAATTTATTTTGTCTTTCAGATATTAAATATCTTTAGAACGGCTTTATCCAGTTCTGCTGATGGTGAATCACTTGAAGAGATATTTGGAAGAATAAAGTAATTTTAGAAATGACATATTAAAATAAACATAGTAATTTTAGATGTTTATGGCCCTAAATCAAACACTGGACCCTAGTGATTGTGGGTTTTTTGGGATGGAAGTTTTTTCTGTTTATCTTTACTACCAATGAGCCATTTTTAAAGAAATAGTAATTGTGATGTATTCAGAGGCCTTCGACTTTGTATGTGACCAAGTGACAACCTTATGGGAATTACAAACAACTTAAAAAAACTGTTTATCTTGCAAAATATACATGAACAGATCTGTAGCAATCAGGCAAGGGCTTTAGAAACAAGAATCTTGTTTGCTGGGTCAGGGGGCCGAGTGTGACCCTTGCAGACATTTTTGTAGGGTTTTTTTTCATTCTTTGACTTCTCACGTGTTCTTTCTCGTCTGCTGTGTTTCACCCCAGGGGAGATGGAGGAGGAGATGGAGAACTCAGAAATGGTGGACCTTCCTGAGAAACAGAAACACCAGCTGAGACACAGGGAACTCTTCCTCTCACGGCAGCTTGAGTCCCTGCCGGCCACACACATCAGGTAAGGCTCCTGGCCTCATGTTAAAAATACTGTGCATGGCCCCCTGTTTCTCTTCCGTCGCATTGTGAAGAGTGTCTGTTTCCTTTCCTGCTGTATGTGTACAGTAAATGTCACACGGTGAACAGTGTAAATATTTTCACAGTCTGAGGCGTAGGGGCCTGGTTCTGTTGCAAAGATGCAAAAAATCTAGAAAAAAGCACAAAATGATTGTGGATTGAGATACAGTGAAATATGAAAACTGATGTGAAATCTCTTGTATTGCTGACATATGTCACCCTGTCTGCTGCAAAATTCTGACTTGAGGCCCTTACGTTAGTGTTCAACTAGTGTCTTCCTTGCTGGTGTCATGCTGTACCTAAAAATGTTTTGCATTTTTTTTAATTGTTTTTTGTATAAACATACAGAATTATCTGAAATAAAGTTACCAGTCATCATAAAACGAAGTATTCCAAATATAAATGAGTATGAAGTCTGCTAATATTCTTTTCCAGTTCGACAGAGAGTGTAGTGCTAGGGAGAAAGGAGGGAGGAGGAAAAAGAACATGGAACTTCAGAAACGTAAAGTCAATATTAATATTCGGTAGTAGAAATAATCCACCTCTCACTAGATCTCTCAAAGACCTCCTTCTGGAGGCTTAACAGATAAGGAGATATTTTGCATTTTAATCAAACTTGAGAGTTTTTGTGGCAGAAAATTAAATGCTATATGACGTTAGATAGCACAGTTTGTCAGATTGTTCTTCTTTGTAAGAATTTTGAACCTAAATGTTTTTAGCTTCTTGTGCAGAAACAGCTTGCTTCTGTCTTCCTTAACTGGGTGTACAGAAGGATCAGGAGGATCGCACTGCAGTTTTAAAGACCTCTGAGAACAACATTCTGGTTGTCATGGAAGGATCATTTCACTCACCAATTACAACTGTCTGGATAGTTTCTAGATGCCCCCTGCCACCAGGCAATACAGTAGCAGGATTTTCAGAGCATGACTTTGGGCATTCTCAGTTGATACACGGACTAATAATGTGAGCCTCTTTATTATGTCCCTTAATTCAGTTTTCAGTTACCTACATTTTTTTGGCATTGATAATCAAATGTTCTGCCACATATTAATATGTAAACTATGGATTTACATATTATGGATTAAAACACCTCATTCTCACTTGATTAACAGAAAATTGTTATTGTATTGTTAAAAGTGTTTGTGGCCACTTTGTGAATTCTATGTAAGGGTCGCTGTTAACAGAATGTGTTCAGTAAGTTCAGATTTGGAATGCAGTCCTGTATCTGGTTGGCAATGCTGAAAAAACTTCACAATTTTTTAAAATTAAATGCATTAATATTGAGGTCCATCTTGTGTGTAAACACATGAGTTGAATTCAGGCCTAGATCCACAATGGATAGCTGGTGTGTTTCTTTATAAAAAATGAAACGCATTAATTGAGAATAGTCATATGCATTGTTACTTCCTGTCAAGTTCCATCTTTTCGCATCTACGGCAAGCTGGAATACACAGCTCTTTCACTGTTTCTGGGGGCCATGGAAACCAACAGGAAAAAAAGGAAGCATTTAATTGGCAAGGGGGGAAATGAGGTAGTAGGTCACATGACCTGTTCTCACAGACTGTGCCAAAGCTGAGTGAGTCAGTCAGCATGAGGCATGCGAGTAACTCTTCCTCTGACCATCGCCCGAGACATCATGGCTGTGGTCCGAGAGCCCCAGTTAAGTTTAGCCAGATACCGTTTCTCATCTCTGCTGTTGTCACCTCAGCTCTTACAGCAACAGATTAAGTTTCTTCCCCTCTGGTCTGGTCAGTCTGTTCTGGCTGTGATTATGAGATGAAAGTGATGTTATATACAATAACAGCACCACAAGAGCTCAGGAGACTTGTAGGTAGTAGGCAAAAGAAGTGGAAACACAATGGATTTAGGACTATGCATTCCAAATTCAGACTGACATAAACTTGTTAAAAATCCAGCCTTATTCTTTGCTGCATTATTAAAAGAGCACACTTTTTTTAAACAGTCTTAATTAATGTCTGATACTTTTTTGTTTGTGCATTGATTTTTTTTTTATTCGCTCTTCTTGAACTTTCCTATTTCCTATTATTCTGTTTAGATACTGTTAACAATTTTCCACTGCTTCTCAGTTAATCTACCGGTGATGAAAAAAATCTGGGGGGGGATATCTTTATCCCAAAGCAAGGCAAGACTTTGTTTCAGCAGATGGCATCCTGAGGATAAAACACATTGCCATAGCTGCCAGATGAGGGATGATTCCAGCCAGCACTACCATGTCTCAGCCTTGGGTTCTGCTGCAGGGGAACAAGACGCACGCAGAGACACATGCACAGACACGTCTTATGTTTCTCTCCCTGTTGCCAGTTTTGCAGTGTCCTAAGGGTTTTATTTTTCTAAGACCTGCCAATCTCAAACCTCTACGACGTAGAGGCTTGTCTCTACGTCGTTGAGAGGACTTGTGAAAGCTGCTAATTGAATATGGCGCAGGGCAGCCTAAGCAGGGCTCGTTTTATCCCGGGCCCCCAACCTCTGGTCAGTCACAGATTTTTGCTTTCCTTGCACTGATGAGTGATTTGCGTTTCTCCTCTTGCCTCCCAGAGGAAAATGTTGCGTCACGCTGTTGAATGAAACCGAAGCACTGACATCTTACCTGGATCGCGAGGTAAGATCAAGCGACACCTTTCAAACATTGGAATAGCGCTGATGCTGTAAGATGTTCAAACACTTGGACATACACTCCTAGATACACTCAAGTCTGCACGGAAAATGCATGTCAATCTACAGTACTCATACATTTTGCTTTCTTTCCTCCAAATTGTCCAAGGCTCTGGTGTGATATGGCATGTTAAACTGAAAGGTGAGTTAAAGATTTAGTGACAGTTAGCACCTTATTGAAACTTATTAGACTCATCTGACTATATTCATCTCATCTGATTATAGTATATTATTACGTGGGGGCATGTCCAGTGTGGAGGCGGAGCTCTGGCAGAAGGGCGATGCCCCGCCTTTGTAGTCCCAGCTGTTTTGGCTTCCAGCTGATGAGCCCCAGCTGGGCAGGTCCTATAAAGGACTGTCGGTGAAAACTCCCCCCCCTCTTCCGGGGGTAGCCCTGCTTGTCCCTTTGGAGGGTGTCCAGTGTGCCTTTATAGGACCTGCCCAGCTGGGGCTCATCAGCTGGAAGCCAAAACAGCTGGGACTACAAAGGCGGTGCGTCACCCTTCTGCCAGGGCTCTGCCTCCACACTGGACACGCCCCTGCTTAACACCACAATAGGAAAAGAGATCTGCCCAAGTCTAGGAATGATGTTTATTGAAAAGTCAGTGTGATCACTCAGTTTACAAAAACACAACAAATACACATAGCGAGTTGCTTAGGTTGGAGGATCTGGAAACACCTGATATAGTAGGTTAGTCTTTACATAATCTTTTAATTCACTGTGGAATGGTGCATGGATAGAATCTACACTTTGCTGTAGATTTAACCTTATTATTGTTAATAAACAGTCCACTTCTTAGATGATGAATAAGACTTTGAAATGTATTGAAAATATTTTCTATATAGTTATTAACCACTATTCATGTAACCCTGATGTAATGTCTGCTGTAATATATACTGTTTTATTTTCTCTGAGTGAGAAGATTCAAATTCAGAACCCCAGCTTTGTTGTCTAATGATTTGTAACTCCTATTATCTGTAATGTATTTAATACATATAACTTGTTGCCTTTTGAGTGCACTCTTCTACTTACCTAGAAGATAATTTAGAAAGGGATGTATCTGAGTTCATAAGCTTTTAATAGGATGTTATTCGTCTATTGATATTATACAAATAGCATATTAACTGCACTAGATGAGAATAAAGTATTAGTGTCATTCTCTACAGTTTGAAAATCAACTACATAAATACATTTATGTTCTGGCGTGGCTGCTTTTCCTGTGCGTCTTTATGAGCAAGTGATTAAATAAAACTAAAAACCCACCTGGCATTCCCCCAGTGCTCATACCGAGTCACGGGTTTTCCTTTACGTACTGGATTGAAGCATCACTTCTGTTTATTTGCTTCTGCATATCATGTTTCCCTTTCTATTGATGTATATAATCTACTTATTTGTATTCTTCACTTAGATTTCAAATACAGAATTAGGATTTGAAGACTTTTTGAGAGAATATTGAGAAGCTGCAAGATGGTATACACTTGTGGTTCTTTAACTGTTAATAAATATTTTGGCTTTGTCAGATCTTAATAAAAACATTTCCAAAAGGTGGTGGTTGTTGTTATTTGCTTTTGCAGACGCCCATTTGTAGGGCGACCTGCTGTGTTTCTGTTTATTGAAGTCCAGAGGGGAGTGATATTTAGAATTTAGAATTTTTTATACATCTGCCCAAACCCCACATCCACGCTCAGAGGAGATTAAGGAGGTGCATACAGACTCCTCCAACCTGTCTGCCTTTAAGACACGTGGCCTTAACACGTCCCAGGCTGTGCTGTCCCATACTGGAGGTCCTGTGCTGATTGGAGGACAGGTGTGTCCCTCACTGGCATCACTCCAAGCCTGCAAGCACCAAAGAGGCCACAGGGGTCGCTCTATCCCCGAGATCTGAATGAACCCTGGGCTACTAATCCCACCCTCCCCTAGCCGGCGCTCTGTCAATTGTGTGCCATCACTCAGGGTATCCTGATCACAAGTGGGTAGTCTGATGAGCAAAGCTCGAACCCACATTCATGTATCCCAACCTGCACTCAGGTGAGCGCCTTTACCAGGCCAGTTACTGAAGGGACTCAGAAGAAAATATTCTTTTGAGTCCTGGTACCACCTCTTCCAGGGAAGTCAGTGTTTCTGTCACTGTTGGGTAAATGCTGCACTGAAAAAAGCATTACAAAAACTAATGATGCAGTTATATTCTGCTTTAGTGATCATCATTTCATCATGGTTCCAAGTCTAAATTGGAGGGATGCCAGTGTTTCTACCTTCATATATTATCTTGGAAATTCATTCCTTGTATTACTAATGACGTATGTTAACAATTTTGTTATTCAGGTGTACATTTAAATTTAAACAAATATCCAGTTATGGCCTTAGTGGTCTGATCATTAGACCTAATTTGAAGTGACTTTATTCAATCATATTTAATTCCCATTTTCAAGATCTCACCCAAATCAACCTTAAAAACCCTTTCACTGAGTAAGTTCCTACAGTGTGTCTTCATCTTTTTACATTTACTCAAAGATATGGAAGACGCATACAGTATAGAAATCGGCAGCAGTAGTTACAAAATGCTTTGGAAAAGAAGAGGCTGGGTCATGCAGATATTACTAGTTGTATATCTATTGTTTTTATTGTAACTGGCACACTGTGAATTATTGAAGCTGCTGACCTAGAATGTTACACTTGTGTTTAGTAATGAAGAAAGTGGAGAATTGGGTTGCTCATGGCCAGAGTAAGAATCTGCTCTCAGAAGACTTTGCAGCTGATATCCAGTTAATTTAATCTGATTAATTTCCATGTAGAAATGATAAATATTAAAAATAATGGAGCTAATGTGTATCCTACACCCATAATTAATGCTATAGTATATAATATGTATTTAATGTTTGCCAAGTTGCATGGTAAATTAAAGCTAAGTAATAAAAAAGGGAAATAAACAGGCAGCTTTTAGTAATTAAAACAAATCATGTAAAGGATATTAGGTATGCTCCATTGCAAACACTTAGATTCTCATACGGTTGGAGGCAGTTCTTTGACAGCACATGGGCTGAACATATCAAAATTCCAAAAGAGTGGGTTTGTTTTCTTATGTTAAGAAAGGTCTTCCTTGGGTGTGAATGTGTACTTGCATGTGGAAAGGGGCCCATATGGGAACAAATACTCACAAACATGAAATCTAGAACCCATGTTTTTAACTTTCTCCAAATTGTCGAATGACTTCATGATTTCACAGGTGAAAACCAAGGATAAAATGGAGATATTCAGAGAGATTTAAAAGGGGAGCAGTGGCTAAACACTCATTTGAACGTTTTGGTTTTGTTTCCCTGTTCAGGACGCCTTTTTCTACTCTCTAGTGTATGATCCCCAGCAAAAGACCCTTCTGGCAGACAAGGGAGAAATCAGAGTGGGGAACAAGTATCAAGCCGATATTACTGACCTTTTAAAAGAAGGTAGGTTGAAGATCCTGCATTGAAGAGGAATGAGTGGTGTAAGAGAACAGCGTCAACAGCACAGCGAAGATCATGACAGAGCATGCACACATCAGGCCATTTATATAAAAGAGAGAAAGGAGAAATGCATATACTGGACCATTTTACAAGGGGTATGGTCTTATTCATTCCCATTTTGAATGGAGTGGGGAGCTGCGTCATTATGCGAGTTTCAGAAGTAGAGGTTAATTCCAACACCGGAAAGCTAGATGACTTTTCTGCTGTAAAGCCTCTTTCAGGTGTGTGGCACAGGTGACTCTGCCTGGAGGAGAAACCGCAGGACTCGTGTGATGAAATGGCTAAACACTGCAGGCCCATGCAATGGACTGCTGGGTCATCTGCAGGGCACTGGTGACTCTAGGCGCTTTGCACGTCGCTGATGGCAAATTACTTATAGTGAAACTCGAAGAAGGCTCCATGAGCCAAACTCTGTTTTCTTTCTTTTTGCTTTTTTTACGTGGGAGTTGACCTCTGCTTCTTCCTATTTATTTTAACAACTCCAGTTCTGTCACCAAGATAAGATGATAACAAGGAAGGGGCAGATGCTGTAATTTATGTATGATTAGGTGACTTAACAGTGTTAAAGATTTCATGCAGATCAGTGAAGACTGGGCTTCTTAACATCCTTGTTATTTCAGCTGGCAATAAAGTAGCTAATTAAGTAGATCTGTTTGTGGAAAAGCCAAAGTGATTTTCTAATAAGAGATTCTAAGAAGCTGATTAGCATGTGTTTCTTTTAGAATGTTTCAAAGAATGAATAAGGTATTGGTGGTTCTGTAATTTGCAACATTAGTCATGTCATCACATTCATAGAGTTGTATATTTTTCTGTTGAGAAGTGGGGAAAGACATTTGTAATTTGATGAGACTTGATGAGTCAAATGTCCATCCCATAACAGTTTACAGCTTGAGAGCTATTTAATGACTGAATGACTTGAACTCTTGAACAGTAAGAGCTGCGATTTAAACAGAATGAATTTTGTAAAGCAAAAATATTGGTGAAATCAGTAAGAGAAACAGGAATGAGATCTGAATTTGACTATTATTTGTAGATATGTAGCAGTATTTGCTTGGATATTTAATGTTATTGTATTATTTGGTTCATGTTACTTTCTTTCCTAATAATATCAATAATAATATTAAGTTATCCAGAGTTCTTGTGTTTGAAATTCATGCATTAATTTGTTCTCGATAGTATTGCCTTTTCGTATGACATTTTTGAATTACATTTTTTATTTCTTTGTAGTTGTTTAACTTGCTGTCTGTAAGTGGTAGTGTGGTTTGTACTTATTTTTAATTCTGATAATTATTTTTAACATAATGCTTGAGATCCAGGGTATGTTTGATATCTAGATTCAAATTTTATATCCCTTGGTATTGTTTTCTTTGCAAAACAGTTTATTCTTTTTTAAAGTCAGTAGAGAATTTCTTTAGGAATAGCTAATTGAACTTATGAATATCTTTGATTTGTTTTCATATAGCTTAATACTAGCCTTTGGGTTCCTGTATGTCATTATTAATTGATAACTGTGTTGTAAATTATCTTGGTTAGATTTGTTTTAATGGTGCAAATATGAGTGATCAGAAATTATTGTTCAGAGAACAATGTATATTAAGTGCTAATACAATTTATTAGTGAAAAATAACTTGAGTAGTACTATTGTGTTATTAAGGTAGTTTTAGTCATCAATAGTTTTAACTCTGGTTTCCAATGCTTTCATTGGATCTGAAATTTCACTTGGTCTTTGTCTTCAAGGAGCATATAATATTTTGTTAGGTTTGCAAGAATGTTCGAGAGAAGCTCTATATAGCTGAAATGTTAGTAAGAAATACTATTGGGATGGAATAAATTGCAATAAATTGAAAAGTCTTCTTTCCAAATGGAGTGAGAGATGAAAATCAGAGGCATTAAGCATATTTGAACATTTTGAAATTAGATCTTGTGTTATAAACACACTACTGCTGCTGGATGGAAAGAGTTAATAGCTCTTGAAATGTGCACTATTTATTTCAAGATTTTTTAACTTTTAACTTTTAACTTGACCTGCACATTGTACTTCTTACGTTTGTACACCAAATGATGAAAAGAAGGCAGAAAACAGCTAACAAACAAGGCTAATGAGTTTGTGGCTTTTGCTGACAAAAATCAATAGTGTGCTAATACATTGGACAATCTCTAATAGGTTTGAGGCACCTGGATCTAATGATATTGCAATCCCTAGAGAATCCTGTATATATTGAGAAAACTGACATCTCAAAACAAAACTGTTGGGTGCAATCTGAAGGCTCATATTTGTGTCACTCTCTGAAATTTGTAGAACAAATATCTTAACGTGAAATACAAGGCAGTCAACTTTTTAAGTTAAAATACTTGCCTACTGGCATATAACTCCTTGCACTACACAAATTGATGCTAATGTAATGTTTTCTGTCTAGTTAGTGCTATCAAAGGTATTTTTGAATTTTATTTAGCCTATTACAGCTTCTATCGTAAATGACAGATTCAACTTATTGACACACGAAGTCTGAATCTGTGGTATATTTCTGCATTTTGAATTATATTTTCAGTGTGGACATGTCTTCTCTTTGGCCTGCAAGATGATCAGGGGTTACGGTAGCAACAAGGCCTGCTTCCGAATTGCACATTTCCAGTTGTGCGGAGGAAGCTGAGATACGAGCCATGGTGTCGATGAGCTGCTTAAATAGTGAGGCTGTTGTAATTTTACTAGGTGAAGATGACGGAAGGGATCAGTCAAAACTGGAGACCAAGGTGTGGGATCCCAACAGTCCTCTGACGGAGAAGCAGATCGATCAGTTCTTGGTGGTGGCACGGTAAGGGCATTTCCTCACCAACTGGAATGAGAGATCAAAATCAGGAGCATTTAGCATATTTGAATTAAATGTTTAGAGATTAAGCTGTAAACCAAGGCAATATCCCCTCCTTACCATCACTTGGATTTTTTTTTCCTTGTGATGAATGGCTGTGGCTCAGGTGAGGTTGTCTTTATCTGTTTGTTCCACCATTCTGTGTTGGGCTACAGACCCTGACTCACCTCTGGTCTAAATAGGGGCTCACCTGTCCATCAAGAGGAGCTAGGGGTGGAGCTAAGGGAGTTTGAACTGGTGCTCCTGGTGGAGCACGAGTTCTTTTAGTTTTTGGTTAGTCTTAGTTTGACTTCAAGCTGAGTGTCTGTATGCTGTTTTGTTTTGCAGGCTAGCTTTAACTGTCAGTAGGAAGTTCCCTGGAGGAACTGCAGTTATTTTTCTTGAATGTTTTTTTTTCCCTTTTGTAAATATTCTTTCTTCTTTATTTGTCCTATATTCTTATGATTTCTTTGACCACAGTTGGACGTAACTGCCAGGTGGTTTAGTCACATCCTTATTATGTAACCCCTCAATTTGGAATTGCCAACTCTTTTAAGACTCAGTTGTGTGGCAAAGACCTCTGCACCTGTTCTGGAGAGAAAGAAACACAGATATGCCTTTTGCCTTTTGATACTTGTCTACATGCTCCTTAACATCCAGAACGGAGAGCTTGTGTTATCTGGAGAAATGGCATATCGTTCGGGGACATCACAGCTACCCTGGCCAGTCACAGGAAATGTTCAGAAAGCCTCGTCTTATTCATAGCTGTAACAGGATGAGAAAGAAACTCCCAAAATAGTACTCTGACAACAGTGGTAGCAGGGTTTGGACCTATGGTCACAATGTTGTGGGTGGAAATCCCTAATGCAGAGACTGCTGATATTTTACTTCAATGCCTCAATCAGCCTTTCCTGTCTGTAGATATAGGGACCAGCATCTGTAGGGAGGGTCTCCATGCAGTAGACGGGTTCTTGTACCCTTGTTTGTCACAATACTGCTGAAACTGATCAGCTTTGGGTACACTTGAGTAAAGGAGTTTCATCTCTTTCACAAGGTTAGAACAGATAAGTGGCCTGACCTTCCCTCAGGAAAACATTAAATGGCATTTAATAAAGGGTATCGCAATGGCGTTTGTAAGAACCAGAGCATTTATTTCAGTGATGATAGCTGCAGAGGACGTTTCAGAAGCATGTCCGTGCCTGGGATTCCTCCAGTGCTTTACAGAAACCATACAGGTTTTCCCGTAATTCAAAAATGCGTTTCAACCGATAAAAGAACCTGCCTTGTTTAATGTTTAGTTGGAAGAGCATTTCCCTTGATGGGGTTGAGGGTGCAGAATGTGCCTGGCCCCTGCAGGGACATGTGTCACCCCTCTGCGGCTGTGGGGGGGGGTTGTGTGTTGAGCTGCCACACTGTCAGTCACAGGTGTGCTGTTCTCTCTTGTGCTTCCAGCTCCGTGGGCACGTTTGCTCGAGCCCTGGACTGCAGCAGCTCTATCCGGCAGCCCAGTTTGCACATGAGCGCCGCCGCTGCCTCCAGAGACATCACCCTGGTGAGCCGCCGCACCTTCCTTACCTGACAGACTGAGTCACGCCTGGCTCGAGCGCTTCTGCTCAGCTGCAGCCAGGTTGCCATCGCATCTAATGGAGATTGCCTTAACAGAAAGATCATTACAACGCTGCTCTAAAGCCTATATTATCCTCATATATCCTATATTAGGATATAGGGCTAAATAAATGTTAAGTTCCCCTTTACATCATCCATGATTTATTGAAGACTGGAACTTTTATCAAGTTGATTCTTCCTGATCAAAAAACATAAAGACCACATGTATTAAATTAATGTAAATAATGTAAATTAATGTGTTTTTAAAGAACATTAGTCAGCTTTATGTATCCATGTACCAGAGAAATTGGAACCTTGGGATGTTTTCAGTTTATTTTAATGTAAGGTCTCTGAGACTGCTGTTTGAAATTTTATTCAGTAAGCAAGTGCAGCTTCAAAAAACACCTAATTTGTGAACAGATTTGCCTTTCGTAAAAAAAAAATCCTGCTGCTTTGAGCCACACCTTTTGTTTTTTCTTGTGAACTCGTGTCTTACATTCATTAACTGCAGATCATAATTCCCATCCATCTGTTTAATCAGAGCCAATTTCAACAAACACCGGGCTCAAGGTGGGATGCATCCTGGACGGGATGCCAGTCCATCACAGGGCACACACAGACTCAGACACGCACACAACTCACACCAGTTTTCCCAGAAGCCAATTAACCTGCCAGTATGTCTTTGGACTGTGGGTGGAATCTGGAGCACCCAGTGAGGAGCCAGATGAACACAGGGAGAACATACAAACTCCACACAGATAGCACCTCAGATCCGGAGCTGAACCCAAGGGCCCAGTGATGTAAGGCAGCAATGCTGACCATGCTGAGCACAGTGCCACCCACAAATGATATCTGTTGTCTTTAACTGATAGGCAAGCTATCACACACAAACAATACTTAATATTTATGGTCAAAACTGGTTTGAATAGCCAACTTGATTTTCTATAGAAATAGTGCTTAAAAAGGACAACTGCAGCCTTGGGATATATGTTGAACACATCTATCTGGGGACCAGCAGGTGCTGCTTAGCAAACATATGACATGTCATTTGAAATACATATTTTTCACATTTTCTTCAGCTAATCTGTCTTTACTTGCAAAAAAAAACTGTAATTGCTATGCAATTAATTGCTTTAGAAGAACTGTATAAATCCTTTGAAACAACTGTAGCTTGTATGGGAGAAGTGTTATTCAGTGTCTTCATCTCCAGATTATAGTCTTCTGCAGTAGTGTAAAAGTTTCTCCAGATATCGGACAACTAAAACCAGAACCTCTCCTTAGTACTCAAAAATAATGTTGATTGATTCCCCCTTTACCTGATTATTTCCTCCTGCTTACTCCTTGTACAGTAGATGATGTCAATAGATGCCAGTGCTTGTTTTCATTGTCTTTTCCATTGCATGTGGAATTACAATGGAATCTGTGGTGACAGAGATGTTGAATAATGAATACTGGCCAAGCAGTTCTATTCACCCAGAATTCCAGAATTGGAAGAAGCAGTCAGAGAATGGATGGAAGTGCGTGTGGCTGATCTTCTTCTCTTTTCCTCTCTTTCTTCAGTTCCATGCCATGGACACGTTGCACAAGAACGGGTATGACATCTCCAAAGCCATCTCGGCGCTGGTGCCCCAGGGCGGCCCGGTGCTGTGCCGAGACGAGATGGAGGAGTGGTCAGCGTCGGAGGCCAACCTCTTTGAGGAGGCGCTGGAGAAGTATGGCAAGGACTTCACCGACATCCAGCAGGACTTTGTGAGTCACGGCCCCCGTTCTGTTCCTTGTGCATTTGCACAGTCTAGACAGCCCTTGGGGGTCCTCTCTTTTTTATTCTTAACATTAAGAAATGTGGTGGTCTTGATCTTTATTGGAAAAAGGAATGTGGTTTGTCATCAAAGCAAGTGATGTACAGTAACTGGACAAAACCTCTATACGTGGCTTAGAGCCATGTGGTGAGAGACAGCCTTTGTGTTATATTGACATCTAGTGGTGGAGCACGGACAGGGCAGTGCCTCTACTCTCTAATGAATTACTGTATTTACAAGCCTTTCAGCTCTTGAGGTCCAAAGAGTTTGAAAGGGAAAAAGAGCTTCCCTGAGGTTCATTTGGTTAGAGCCAAGATGTTGCAGGTTTATGCCTGGGTCATGTCGTAGGCTGACTGACGGGGAAGCCCTGTGCAGTGAACAACAATTAACTGAGCATTAACTGTCTGTGAGTGACTGAGAGCGGTCACCCAGCGACTCGCTAGGTGGCTGCAGGCCTGCAGTCACGTTGGTGAGAAATGCGCCTCTCTTCCAGTCAGCGCCAACCGGCTTCCTGTCGTGGCTACATGTCTCATTCTCTCCCCGAGCAGTGCAGGAGGCCTTACTGGAAAGGACTTGTCTTTAAACAAATGGAAATTTCCAAAGTGGTTAAGCATTTGATGGAAACAAATGGCAGTTTTCAAAAAATGTTTTCATAACATGTTTGCCAGTCAAAAAAGCGGCACAGCTCTGGCAAGGTGAGCTTTGGCACTGGTCCCACTGCCCTCAGTAGCTCTTCTTCAACTGCAGTTTACTGGCAGCAGACAAAATTCAAAAACTGCCCTCAGTCGCTGGGCTTGACTCTTTTCTTTTTCCTCCTCCTCCAGCTGCCGTGGAAGTCCTTAACCAGCATCATTGAGTATTACTACATGTGGAAGACTACAGACAGATACGTACAGCAGGTAGGCCGAAATTATTCTGGACTTCAATGCAGAGAGAATGTTTAGAATCAGACTGATGTGAATTAAACTTGTGTGCTTTAATTTTTCCTTTTATATATGCAAGTGTGGGCAGCATGGTGGGGCCCTGGGTTCAATTCCGGGCTTGGGGTACTATCTGTGTGGAGTTTGCATGTTCTTCCTGTGTTGGCGAGGCTTTTCGCCAAGTGCTCCAGATTCTTCCCACAGTCCACAGACATACATAGGTTAATTGGCTTCTGGGAAGAGTGGCCCTGATATGAGTGTGTGTATTTGTGCCTGTCTGCCTTTGGTGGACTGGTGTAAGGTATCCTGCCTTCTTTCCCTTTGTTTGCTGGGATAGGCTCTGGCTGCCCTGGCTGAGTTGGGTTAAGAGGTTAGAAAATGGATGGATATTCAAGTGTAGTTATACAGTATTTCATTTATTCATGTCCACGGCAATACTAATGCTCTGTTCCTAATTCTAAAGACAGAAATGCATTTTGTGGTTTGTTCTAGGATAAAAAGTGAAAAAAAAAAGAAGTCACTTTTTGAAGAGGTTTTTCATTCAGCATTTTTATATGTAAAGTGGTAGGAGATGCACAGTGGTACTTACTGTAAACAAATTTGTTTCAGCTTCTGTTTGAAAAAAACAGAAAAGCTTGTTCCAACCTAAACCACTGAATGCCTCATGATTCTTTACTAAATAAGCCAGTAGTGTCCTTTAATACAATGCAAACACACTCTAGCATGTGGCCTTTTATGTAAATGACTCATAAGTTGTTTTTTGCTGCCTGCCACCTCTAATTTGATTGTTTTCCATCCTCCTAGAAACGATTAAAAGCAGCTGAGGCAGAAAGCAAACTGAAACAGGTCTACATCCCAAACTAGTAAGTGTGATTAAAAAACACAGCTACTGATTCAATGTGTTACTATATACTGTTGTGTGCTGTTTTAAAAAGTGTTTAAAGTGCTGTTTTAAGGTGGAAGTGAGACATGCGACTTCTATAATATATCAAATTATAGCTAATCCCACATTTCCAGTATCATTAATTAATAATAATTCATAATTGCTTACAGTTATATAGTGCTTTTCCGGACACTCCACTCAAAGCGCTTTACAGGTAATGGGGACCCCCCTCCACCACCACCAATGTGCAGCATCCATAATTACCGCAGTGTAGGAAAATAAATTCTATTCATTTTGGTTCATTTTTTTGTATTTCCCAATTTCATATTAATCATTTCATATAGTACCAATTCTGTGCCATTTTGCTATTATCAACAACAAAAAACGTGAGTGCAAAAAAAAATAAACAATGGCCCAGCTCCAATCCCAAGAACATTGCAACTGTACATCTATTTGTGTGATTTAAGTACTCTTGTACATGAACCACTAAAAAACAAATGTACAATCCCCAAATGTAAAAATATTTTTTTATGAAAGAATATCTAAAAATAATCAGGTGTTACAGAAAATCAGATAACCTTTTTCCCTACTAACACCAGACAGTCAATGATCTACTGTACACTAGTCTGTTTTGCCTGTTGCATCCAAACACTTGGGTGAAACCTTTTTATTCCATTGCTTTAAGACTAGTTATCCTGTGTTTTGTGCAAACTCCTTTCTGTCCCTCCACAGTAACAAACCGAATCCAAACCAGCTGAGTGTGAATAACATCAAGCCGGGGCTGGTGAACGGGGCTGGAACCACAGCTGGACCACAGGGGCAGAGCGCTGGACTGGGCCGAGCCTGCGAGAGCTGTTACAGTGAGTCCTGGACGCACACACCCCACTGACTTTCAAACAACGGCTACCAACCAGGGTCATGTTGGGCGATTGTATATTGTCCACGGAGCCAGAGCTGGGATTTCATTTGGGGAAAAAAAGCTTTGCTGATACTTTCTGAAGATAAGTGGGCACCAGGCAGAAAGCTAATTTCAAGCACTCTTGGGAAGACCATTATGGTTTTTTTAATTAACTTTAATGTGGGAAGAAAAAAAAACCTTCAATAGGAAAACCATTGGGGTTTCAAAGAGAAAAATGCCTTCTTGAAATGAAACATTTCTTTTGATTGCATTGTGTATTCTCCAGTGGTCACTGCCAGTTAATCTTGGAATCAGTGGTCATTTAAACCAGGATAACTGTGTCAAGATGTGCTTTCTTATTAGGGTAATGTGGAGAGTGGCTTTTTATAAGGGCCTAGCCCTTCAAAGATAGACCAGATTTGTGTGCTCTTCCAACAGTTACAAGGAATATTCACGAAATCCCTCTATTAAGGACAGACTTTAAATTAAAATATTTTTTTGACACATGAACTAATCTGATGGATTCCATCTACACATGTGATCAAATCGCTGTCCAAACAAGCATTTACTATACACAGTCTGTGTTCCATAAAGCTGCGATTACTAGAAATTCCCAAGCAACTGTCACACGGGGGAATTGCAAACTTTGTATATTTTTGGATGAGTTGCTGTTGGGTCTGTTTGCTGTTTGCGAACAAATGTCTGAAACAGATGTTAAGAAAAAGACAGAAGTAGTCAGAAAGGTCTCTGAATGTCAATTACATGGATACTTGGTGTCAGCAATACCTTCAGCAAGAAGATGAAGCTATGGAATGCTGGCAGGAACTGAACACCTAATTCATCAAACATTTACTGCTTTAAATTTAAACCTGTTTTTTTCTGGTGTGATCAAAATACTCAACATGTTAGTTGTAGCAAAAAACACTCAGAATGTTATTGTCACCATCTATGGAGATACTTTATTATTATGGTATTTGACTGAAACTTTTATCCAAAGAGATTTGTACAGGTTAAATTTACACCAGCTTTCCAAAAAGGGAAGCTTAAAGGGTACAGTAAACAATGTACAGTATGTACCTGTATAGGTACTACCCAGTCCTGGTCCTTGAGGGCTGGTTTGTCTGCTGGATATCTCTAAAGGTTTCCTAAAGCAGCAGCACCTGAAGACCTCAGAGAAGCTGGTAAACTGGTCGAGTCAAACCACTAACTGGTCTAGCTCTTTAAGAGCTGAGTTATAATGAAAATTTACAGATACACCGGTCGTGCAGTTCCTCTATTGGACGGCCTTTCTATGCAACCTTGTGCCTTATGTTCTTGAAATGTCACATGGATGAATTGACAGCACTGGAGAATTTTGGCATTAGTGAAATCAGATCACTGTGATGGATTAACATCCTGACCAGGATGTGCCCTGCCTTGCTCCCATTGCTCCCCCATGACCCTGAGTTTGAAGAAGCGGTTAGAAATTGGGTGGATGAAATCAGATCACTGTGAAGTGATGTGCTCCTGATCAAGCTGATGCATCTGCCTTTTAAAGCCACCAGCTCTTACCAGTGGTACTCCTGGGGACCTCCCAACATGCAGTGCCGCCTCTGCGCCACCTGCTGGACATATTGGAAGAAATATGGAGGACTGAAGATGCCAACGCGATTGGATGGCGAGAGGCCAGGACCTAACCGCAATAACATGGTAATCTTTGATATCCTTGTCTGCCTTACACATGGATGACAGTGATTCGTCTAATTATGTTGAACTTTTATTTATCCTGTGGATAGGTACAGCTTCTAGCGAATCAAGGGAATTAATATAGTAAGCTTGAGTACATATTTGGACACTTCTGTAGAAATATGTGGAGCTATGGAAACATGTGTCTAAAATAATGAAAAGATATTGTTGACACGTACTGAAGGTGCCAAGGAGTAGACTTGGTATCTTGCTGTTTTTCAGCAGCAGTGTTAAAGAAGTGTTCTTAGCCCAGTACATTGGGACTGCCTACTGCTAAATGTGCAGGAGCACTGGTGAATCCTTCCACTTGTAACCAAGTCATTAACCACAATGAGTACAGGAGCTGAGTGCCATCCGTGATACAGAATTACATGGATCCAAGTTGAATGTTTTCTTCCCATTATTGTGCTATTTTTAGGGATTTAACTAATCTCCACTTGATCTGTCCTTGTCCTCTTGCAGAGCCCCCACGGATTACCTGTGAGACACAGCGGGAGCCCCAAATTTGCCGTGAAAACACGGCAGGCCTTCTACCTGCAGACTACCAAACTCACCAGAGTCGCCCGGCGGCTGTGCCGCGATATCCTGCGGCCGAAGTACTTGGCCAGGCACCCATATACACCAGTGAACAGCGCTGCCGTCAAAGCCGAGTGTAAGGAGCCCTGCGTCACAGTGATAACCCTATTCTGACACCGGTCTGCAGAGATCTGCTCTAACAAAACGTGCAGGCCTGGTGGAGAGAGGGGATGCAACGCAGAACCTAGCACACAACAGTGTAGATAATTAACCAGTCGCAAACAGTAACTTGTACATTGAGCAGGACCCGACACAGAAGCAGGCATGAAAATCATGGATGTGGAAGAGTTGTTGAAAAAGAAACAGTTCCTTCGTAATTTTATAAAGGGCTGTGTAGGTCTTTGGCAGCCGTTCCTTACATTGATCAAGTAAGGTGCTGTTGAAATCTGAGTCTTCTAGGTGATCTTTTCAGATCTGTGTCTGGAGGGCCAGATGTAGGAGATCACTACTGGTTGACCTTGGCCTGGAGGTGACAAGTAGTTGACCTTAGAATTGCCAGGGTGGAACCAGTAGAGAGACTCTCATTTTTGGCATTCATTCAGCACCACCTAATTTTTTTTGGTAAGATTTTGCATTCTTGTCTCTGGCCTTCGGCTCTCCTAAAGTCAAGTCACGTAACAAAAGATGAATAAGAGATGTTGCTTCTTGCATTAATGATTGCTGCATGTAACACTGTTGGCTGTAATATGCAGTGTAAGTCATAACCTTTACAATTTTCTCCTGTTGTGCTGGCAGGCTCACTCCGATTGCCAGAGGGATCCAAGAGCCCCTTGACTTTAAAACAAGCAATCCGAAAACCTTTGGAGACAGTAGTCAGGTATTTAGGTAAGACACAGCTGCGTATTATTAGGAAAATGTCTCCTTCTCATGTTTTGAAAGACAGTGCTCCATAAAACAAACATTAACATTTACAGTGCCTTGCGAAAGTATTCGGCCCCCTTGAACTTTTCAACCTTTTGCCACATTTCAGGCTTCAAACATAAAGATATAAATTTTTTATTTTATG